CTATTCCTAGTGGTCCTAATCGACCTCGCTGGAGTGCTGACCTCAAACTTTCTACCTTTTGCGCACGATCTCATTTGGAGTTAGGCCAACATCTACAATTGGACAGTTAGCAATTTAGTGCGCTCTCCTCTCACCCGAAGGCGTGACCCTTGATCCCAGAATAACAGAGTAAAAAGGGACAAGACTTATGGGACTAACTGGCGATGGGGAACCACGTCGATCTCTTTGGCATTGTTTCAGGAATGCTCTACAGACAGCGATCGCAGTTTTAGGTGGATCTGCAACGTTTAATTTTAACATTGACAACACCATTATATTTACTGTCAGCATCTACGTATTCAACGGTTTTCCGCAGACAAGCTGGCGCACCGAATGGCAGAATTTCATTACCAGCCGGACAATTACCTCTTTTTCATTGCATGGTTTTGTCGCCAGAAAGACTTGTTAAAAAATGATGGGTGTGAGCTATGCCATGCTGCACACGTTCGTTTTCTTTTGAGGAAAGTAGGTCCACAATTGCATGAATACTTCTCTGATTGCATTCTTCCCAAATACGCACGCGATATATCACTAGACGGCACTCTGAAACATTTGACCAAAACCTTCAGCCCTTAAACTTAACTTTCCACACACGTTTTCTATGTTTTCAAGTTGTTATACACCAGGAGTAGGATTTTGTTACTTATGCTGTTTTTGTTAACAAGGAATGTGAACGTTTTCAGCTTAGCACAACTACTAGTAATCAGTTTAAAGCGCTCATTTTTGTTTATGGATTGATTTTTCCAAAAGATGCGGAGATTCGAATATGTGCGTTATTTCGTTTGGAGTCTTATCCATAAGTCTCACTACAGGAGCTGCTACAGGAAGCATGACACAGAACTCATGCAACGGCACAACGGTCTTGCGTGGTGGATGTTAATACTATTCCTACACGCCCCAGGCAATCGCACAATTCAATGTTTATTATTAGTATTATTATTATTATCCAGACTTGACTAATGTACAACTGGCAATGCTACAACACAGTTACCAACAACACAAAGGAGGGAAACGGGTGATCAAGTGAAAGGATTTGAAAGTATACTAGGTTAATGTGTTTTGTGGGCAGAGAACTTCCCGGTTGCTATGGCCGAGGTAGAGGTTTGACTTAAGGGACCCCACCACAGGCCTTTGGCCGGAAGACTTAACGCGCAATGCAGCAGGGCAATTAACGAAGACCGTTGACATTCAGGTGGCTCTTTCACCGTCTTTGTGTTCAGTAGCAGTCCACAGAGAAGCCGGTGGCCAGTGAGGTTGTTCATCTACTCTCCGTACGTCTTTCCGGCTTCGCAGACGGCGACCACTCGCCTACTGCTTGTTGGCTTTGCGATCAGCGGCTGTTCGCTCGATTTTGTGTATACAGACAATATTTTTGCTAGCGTTGGGGGAATATCGGACATAAGGAAGCCAGATATTTGCAGGGAGCCTCTGGAAACCGGCACGAACCTTCTCCAGAACTCCAAGTTTTCAAGGTTGCGTTTCAAACGTGGTGTTTGCAACCATTAGCCCGAACTATCAGTCACTGCGGACGTAGGTTACGATTGTGATAAACGGCGCTTCTGTACGGCTTCAACTGGACACGGCGGCCGTTATTACAATATTCTTTGAGTCGACATGGAGCAAACTCGGTAAACCCGCAAATGCTCAAACATCACAAGTCGCTCACGACGCGTTCGGTTCAGAATTACTCTCTTGGGCACTTCAACTGTGAGGTTGCACTTCGTGATTTCAATCGTATGAAATCCATATCACGCAGCTGTGTCTACCGGCCATTTATGGACCAATATATTTAAAACGTTGTTCGTTCCTGTAGCAGCTGTGCTATGGCAACAAAACTACCTGTCCAATGAACAATGAACAATGATTTATAACGGTTATAAAATCAGATGCTTGACATGTCCCGTAGGGTGATTAGAGTGAGCAAAGATAGATCAAGGGATAATGGAATCGTCGGTTCGGGCGATTACAGATTTAACTGCACTGCCCTAGAAAGGGAGTTTGAACTGAGAATGTACGCACACAAAGCAATTGGGGAAGTGGTTATTGATTACGTAACAAGCGAGAAAAAATAAAAACTAGCAAGGACAAGGCTTATTCCTGTGCAGCTATCTCGGGTCGACAGGATACAGAAATCCGGTTTCTACAGTAGTAGAGTTTATCAAATTGTGTGCAAGGGGTTTGGCGTGACTCATTCTCGAGTAGGGTTATGGCACTATCCACTGTCTGTTGTGCATTACTGTCAGCATCTGGTGGTCATGGGCTATAGCACGTAGTGTAAATGTGACAGTTTCGTCAAGGCGTTTTTTGAAAAGGGATAAGGTTGGAGCATTAATTACCTGTTCCGGTAGGACTTTCCGAGGCTGTGACACTCGAAGGGAGAAAAAGTTTCGCCGACTTTCCTGTCGGCTGTACTGGGTGACCAGGTTAAACTGATGACCTCTTAGCGGGGTGTTTTGACAGAAGGGAATGGCATGAGTGGTTGGGGTTTCTTAGGATCTGGTGCACCATTATTAGATTGCCCCATAGAAGCCGATAAGGTCCACTGTATATTTTGTGAGTCTTCATCCTGAGTGGATAGGGGAGGCTGGTCAGTGGTCAATGTAAGCTTCATCCTTGGATAACTCCAAGTGGACCAAGGTCTAGCACTCATATTGATTTTGCCGGACCGTTGGAGGCTTTCTACTATCCGGTAATTGTCGATGCTTACTCATAGTGGCCCAAAATTTTTTAAATGAGATACGCAACCGCTTCCGCCATCTTATCTTGGAATTCGGTGTTCCCGAAACGATAGTTTCGGACAATGGTTCCCAATTCACTTCTAAATAACTTGCAGACTTTCGTAACTCACATAGGATTGAACACATCCGCACTCCAGCGTACTATATACAGTCAAACGGGCAGAATGAACGTTTTGCCGATACGTTTAAGCGAGCAATGATTAAACTGGAGGGAGAGGGAAATAAACAGAAATCATCGACAATTATTTGCAGATTTACAGTACGGCGCCAGGTCCAGCGGTACCACATAACTTATCTCCATCCGAAGCGTTTCTCGCTAGGTGTGTCAGGACGGTCGTTGATGATTTGAAACCATCGCTACATAAGGGACAGGGTAATGTTAACATGGAGTTGGATTTAATCGCCATCATGGAGCACGCACCTGGCATTTCGTGCCTGGTGATCATGTGTACATAAAGAATTTTGGTGACGGAAGATCATCCTGGATTCCTGGCCGTGTTGTTGAAGGGATTTCAGATGTTTTGTAAATAATGCAAGTGGATTCCATCATATGGACTAGACATGTAACCCATATTATACCCCGTTTTGAAGTGGGAGGGACATCGCAGAAAAACAGGAAGCTTTCGTACCGTTGGATATTTTGCTGGATGCCTACCAAATTACTACGTCGGAAGAGCCCGTCGTCCAAACAAAAGACGTAACAACAAATCGAAGTTACTCAATGCGAGGTTAACCCAAGACGTAAAGCATACGAATCAAACGTAGCGTGCTATTCGCTTTAATGGAGGATGTTAGACGGGCTAGTACTTCACGGTCGCTCACAGCTAGATAGTTTGACATTCGTGACTGTCCGGTCACGTGATTGTGTTGGACACAGGCATGACAACCGTTCAGAGTTAGACCGCACACCATTCATGACAATGTCCTTTCACGTGGTTGGCTTATTGATCTATTGGTCTATTTGCATCCCGGGAGCTCAGCTTTTTCAGTTTTTCAATATAGCTCTTCCAGCGCGCTGATGTTCTTGCTTTCTATTCGCAGTGGGTTCTGTTACAGTCAGACGTTATAATAGGCAGACAGTGCAAATTAGTAATATCCATTCTCCATAATCAGTTTACATTTAGCGAAGCGGTATTCGTTTTCCAACATTCATTGCGTCATGGCGGTTGGTTTGAATAACAGCAGCAGCAGCAGCAGCAGCAGCAGCAGCAGCAGCAGCAGCAGCAGCAGCAGCAGCAGCAGCAGCAGCAGCTGGTTTAACGACACTAAATATAAGTTCTCGATGACCGAAATCCAGTCATGACTGCCAACGAATTGAGTCTATGGCGCATTCAGCAACCGAATAAATGGCAAAAAAAGCAATAGTAGGCCAACAAAATACCAAGTACCTGTGTTTACTCGGGTAAGAAAATGCATACAAGCGGAGAGTTTCGGTGTTTCTCCGCTTCGTCTGCTGCTATTTTAACGCACATGGTATGGTCACGAAACTAAAGTATACAGCTACTCTTTGGCCTCCCAATTGCTATACTTTTTAGTTTACCGATGGAGCCGGTTGAGCTTGACTATATCCTGCTGCTTCAGAAAAATATCCACTATACCTTTAAACGAACGTTGAATTTTCCACAACAGTTTGAAGTACACACTTGTGTAGTTTTGTCGTTATTTTTACACCGAATACGGCGATCTGCCAGCATACTCTGCCGAGCATAAAACCAATTTCACTTTACGTCTAAGTCTGACCTTTTTCCGCCTGCACCCCTCATCACTCAACTAGATGTAAATGATCAGCTTTAGTTTTAACCAGTGCGTAATGGTTACTGCTTGTCAGGTGTACAACTGACCATTCTTGAGATGTCGTCGGCACGTTCTCACATTATGATGTCAATTTCGTGATCGCTATCAGCAATTGTACATTGGGTGACAGCGGACTGTCGATAACCTTAACACCGCGTCGCAACTTGTCTGCGTCTCACCTGACTCACCACACCGACGATGGAGCACGGTGTGGCAGTTTCTGAGCACAGCCAATCCGGGCTGTGCTTTAGGTTCATACCGCGATTCCAGTTGCTCGCGTGGGGGTGGGGCGGGCCAGACTAAACCTTGGTTGGTCGCGTTCACCGCCGTGCCACAGACAGTAACTTGCGCGGTTGGCTGAGCAGCTGGACGCCAGCGGAGATCACACTGGGGGTGGATGAAGAGTAAACACACCCTACGGCTGAGCTCACTTCTTTTTTTCTTGTGTGTACACACGCACAATTGAGCATTCCTCGCTAGATGTCTCAGGGCGATGCGGCTGCGTTGTTTACCTACTCCGGCTAAGATAGACACACCGCGTAGATCCGGAAGCAGCTTCGGATTGGTTGATTTTCATAATATGCAAATCGAAGAGGAACGGCCCACTGATCACCACTCGAATGACGAATATACACTTAGTCTCTTCATTTTGTCGGATTTGGTCAGTTCCTCCAATTGTCACAGTATTATAGACCTCGGCCGTTGTGATTGACTTAACCTGATTGATTGGGAACATTCACCAATCTACTTTGAGCGCAGCATCCTTGTGAGGATGTAGCACAGGAACTTAGGCTCATTTTACTGATATTACTTATCATCGGCACTGTGATATCCAGACGTCCGGCTTGTGTACAAAGCCATCCGGTGTGTACACTATTTGCTTGCTAACTGTTGACTTACACGCTTGCTTGTGCATACGCAATAAATTCCTCCTCAAACCAAAGAAACAGCGTTCCCTAGTATACGTGCAGCGCATATTTGCGGAATAGAGAGACCCAGATACGTCGAGAGGACGGAGTTCATTTGTGTTTACCCTAGACACACACACAACTGCTTGTGTTTCTTTGTGTGCGAAAGTCCAGGAGGATGAATCCAATGGAGCAACACTTGAATTTGTCGCCCACTCCAACTGTGTTCTCCAGACATGTGGGAGTGGAATATCTGCCTGGCCATCCTCTACTGGACCGCTATGGCTTTGAGTCAAACACACTGCCCTGTCGAGTTTCACAAGCCACTTGTTGGGCAAATCCTTCCGAATTATCATCGCAGCCGGAGTATTCTGCAAGCGGTTGTCAGCCAGCCGAAGCATCGAAGATAGCAAGCTCCTCGTTTGTCCCACCTACGTGCGATTTCTCCGGCCGGGGCATTCACCACGCAACAGCCAGTCTACATGGTACACAACCCACTGAAGTGGGGAGCCGGATTTTAAACTTTCGGAACGAGAACAAGCTCGTATATGGTTCGGTAGCTCCGATTTCATCGCCCATTTCATGGTACACATCCATGACAGCGGGCACTGCTATATGCTCCAGGCAGACGTGGCCGTCAACTTGTAGCTTTTCATGGTCGAACACCTCCGGCTTAGGTGGATTCGATTCATCAGCATGTTATGTTTCGCCTGGCACCGCAGATGAACGCAGAAGAGCGTTTTATCCCCGACAGGATAGCGGGTGTTACAACCATGTTTTGAGCAACCCAGCAGAGGAAAATGTGTCAATGTGCCAAGAAATTTCCCAGACGGATCCTCTCCCAGGAACAAGCAGCAATCTACTGACCTTCTTACGCTCAGGTAACATGCGTACAAACGCACGCAACTTCCCGAAATCAGATATGTTGAACTCTACTGAATATGATCGTAATTTTTGCCGCAGAACACATGAGTACACAACTCAGGTGACGGATTTTACCTCGTCGGTTCAAGTTCATCTCGACAGCTCTGACTCTTTGTCAATGTCCACTGGAGCAGCGTCAACACAAGATGTAAGTCCTGAACAAGCATTCCACAATCAGTTGTGCATTTCTACCTCGATGGAACGCACACCGATGTCAGATGTGTACAAGTACGCTCAATCGACTTACCTTCCGCAGTCACTTCAAACTTTAGTCCCAAGACCACCTTCAATATCCACAAGTCCCTCGCTGCTAATGGGACGCGACTCCGCCGAAACTAGTTTCGATACACTGGAGGGAACTCAGGTCGCATCCGAGCAACAACCACCACAGTCATGTCATGCGAAACCACCTTATTCTTATATCAGCCTGATCACTATGGCCATACAAAATTCCCCGGCTCGTATGTGTACTCTGTCAGATATTTATCAATTCATAATCGACCTCTTCCCGTACTATCGTCAGCACCAGCAAAGGTGGCAAAATTCGATTCGTCACTCCTTGTCATTCAATGACTGTTTTGTCAAGGTCTCACGGAGTCCAGATAAACCAGGTAAAGGCTCTTACTGGACGTTGCATCCGGACTCGGGAAACATGTTTGAGAACGGATGTTATTTGAGACGTCAGAAGCGATTCAAAGACCCGAAACGCGAGATAATCCGAAGGAATCAACGTATTTTAACACACTCTCAGGGGTTAGGATCAGTAAATACACCCCATCACGAGGAATGCGATGATATTTCAGATGGGGATGATACCATGTCTGTGTTCGACGAAAGATACTCGTTGCAGAGGAAGGATAAATCTTCCGGGAAACGATCATTAGCAAATGAATACAATGGTGAACTGGAGATTTGTCAAAATCTAACCAGAATCGATTATCTCCAGGCTGCAATGCGGCTGACGGCCACCAATCTGAAACATGATGGTACTGGTGCAACTGCTGTAACTCCGTTTTCTCAAGCCACACCGATGTACATGGCTCGTTCGGTGGTTCATAGTCATCCGATAGAGAGTGATGGACTTCAATTTTCGTGTCCGTGTTTGTGCGAAAACATTGAGGGCACTGAGTTGCACACTGCTTCTCGAGCTGGACCAGTTACCTGGCACGAAAATGAATGGATGCAACCTAATTTAGCGCGCTCTGAATCGTATAACCATACACACAATTTAAAGTGTTCCGGCTGTTCCGGTACACGTTGTCCAGTGTCACAGTCGGTTCCTCATTCAGAGTACAGGTGGTATGCTTCAGAGCATGCCGTTTTCCCTGGACCTTATGACTGTTTGGTTAACTCAAGCAGTAAACACCTACCTTTAACCCAAGAACACAAAGGAAGAGGGTCAGCACTCTACTCAGGTTCAATTTATGATTCGTGCTCATTCGATCTGACGGCGGATTTGACTACGATTTCCCAGTGTGGCCTTGTTCCAGACTTAACAGAACCATACCTACAGACGAACAGTCCAGTTACCAAAAACAAGTGTCGGACGACGGAGAAGTGTCATCCGAACTCACTAGACACTGTAGTATTACCACATGACTCTTTGTACACATCTGCACAAGTCAAGCAACACACAACCAGTTACACTGCAAAGCGACCCAGGCGAACAGTTGTGGACCAAGACAGCACAACCAAGGAATGCACAACGGAAATTGTTCAACCAGCGGTAACTAGGCAAGATGGCATGTTATCAACAGACGAACTAATGAGGGGATTGGTGCCCACATGGATATCAAATCTCAGCCCGCATAACCCTTGGCTCACCGGACGCTCGCATGACAATACAGTGGAATCATCCATCAAGCTTGAAGTATTCCATGAGAGACACGATCCGAGTAGCCCAAATTTCTCCATAGATCGTTTGATGCACAGACGGGCAATCGGAGAGCAGATTGGAGGTGCTCACCACGGTGAACGTGGGACTAATGTGGTGCGTGAAGCAGATAATGTGGAGATTATTACGGGAATACCGAATTTCCCCAGCTCAATCGGGCCAAGCCTAAGCAAATCCACCTTGTGTGTTGTCAATGACTGAAAACAGCAGCGTGGTTGAGGTAAGTCGCCAGAGCCGTTTGTTTGGCAGCTATAATTATCATTGCGTTACTGAGGTAGTTCACGGTGTCTCAGCGATTACATCTTCTTTCGCTTGAAATATTTAACGTTGCTGTAGGTGTTCACAACTTAGAACTATAGGTACTCCTTACTCAAAATTATTGTCGACAGCCTCACAAACAGACGCTTACGGCAAAATGTTCTACACTTAGTGAACACTTAAACTGTGTAGGATCGAAACGCTGTCACAACCACTAGCGGTGGCCATAGGACTTGTGGACACTGCAATAATGTATGCTTCCATCACATGGCATTTCAATGCTAACTTTATTCTCCTTTGGAGTCTTTTCATTTGAGCAGTCTAGTTAGGGTTACATTGTGAGAGTCAACTAGTTTTATTCGTGGGTTTCTACAAACAACTTCAGCTGGTGGAGTCACAGCTGTGGCCACCTCACTCCAAAGCGGGGATACAGCGTCGGCAGTTCAATAGCAAAGACAGTAGTTAAAGAGTATTGCGCCATTATTAGTTAACGTACTACCACAAAGTTTCCGGTGGCATTCCGGCCGGTTGTACTGGGTGATCAGTTTCAGCTGATGGCCCCTCATTTTTGTACTGCATCTAAGTTTCAAATGGTGGTGACAAAATTAACCGGAGTTTCACAAAACCTGATACCTTTGAATGAGGTCGCCCTGTAGACGGCAATAACCTCCCTGTATACTCTTAGGGCTCACAGTGGTAGTTAGTATAAGAAGTTGCACAAGCCCTTTACATTTTGGTTGCTGTTCGCTGTGGGTACTGCAGTGCAGTGCTGTCACTTTTGACCTAAGTTTGCCATATGTGGCCTCTCATATGTAATGAGTATTTGCGGGAAGATGGAAAGGTCGAACCATCCGAACATCCTCTGTATGAGACCAACATTTTGGTTCGGGAATTTGGAAGCCACCAAGGATTACTCCGCACAGTCGAGGTCGTCTTACATCACTACTTCAGTGTCACGCTCATGTAAGACGGTCAGCAAGACTGTCTCCCAGCCTATCTTTGTTATCCGGCTTGTGGTGTGGATATACTAGTTTACACTTATCCGCGTTGAACGGAAGTAGATTAGTAGAGTGCGGTGTTTTCGGACGGGTGACATCCACTAGATATCTGCTTTATCAGTAGCCGTCCTAGTGATCGAATTGGTCAAGGTTCACTTCAATGCGAATCGCGGTCCACCCTGATACTGCGCGTCGCATGCATTCACACAACGTGTGTTACAAAATAACCCACTAATCAGTAGCAGACTAGGCTTTGATCATTCAAAACACGGTCTATTTCTCTATGTAGCAGTTTGTGATCTTTCTCATTACCGATCGCCCGTTATCTTTTGACATCCTCGGCAAAAAGCAAGTAGTTCCATCTAAAGACGCACACGGTCTTTAATAAAAAAGAATAAGCGCGGTGCCATCACTGACGCTTGCGGAACAACACATTTCACCTCAGTCGGACCCAACAGTGAGCCAAGAACCCCCAATGTAGCCGCCGCTGAAGAAAGAAGTTTCGGATCCGTTTAAGGACAGGGTTCTCATTTCCGTAAGTTTGCAGCTTCTGGAGTAGCATATAGTGATGTAAGCGGTCGAAGGTTTTTGAAAAGCCGAGATAGAAGACGACTGTTCCGGTCCCAGTCTCAGCCGTTTCGATGCAACTTCCAGGCACCGTCAGTAAGTACGTGACAGATGGAACAATGGAACAATGTTAATGTAACCCCTGCCAATCCGGTGCTTCGATGTTGGATCGTTTTAAACAAACTTTTAATGCCTAAGCTACGATCTGCTCTGTTTTCTTTGAGAGCACCGGAGGATACTTACTGGGTGATTGTTTACGAGCTCTGATCGGTTTCGGCGCCTAGCTGATTAGTGTTGTCTGAACTGTTGTCACTACGTGGTTCAATTAAATGGCACATGTCATTTGGTTGCTTAGAGGACGCCGTTTTACGTAGGTGCTCGGAAGGTAATCTCTGCTATACACATACCAGCACGCCAATACACTTGTTCACTTCCATGTGCATTAAAGCATCAGCTATGCAATCCTCGGGAGATATCCTTTGTTACTTAGCAATCCAGGTTGCCTCGAGATACACTGAACTGTGACATTTGCTAAGGACGGGGTCCCTTGAATGTAGCACTCTCATTATGTCCTCCAAGCTGGGGGACACCGCGAGCAAGGAGGGTCCTGGTTACGGGCTCCTTCCGGTACTCTTCCAGCTGTGCTTCGCCTGCTTACGCTGGCTACGTGAACTAACCGGGAAGACACAGACGAAACAGAGCCCGTTCCGGAGATTAGCTTTAAAACCAGAACTGCTTCTGCTTCCGTCGCAACGGGACTGGATCTCAACGTGGTGCGACGGTTTGCGTACCTCATTGACCCATTGAGCTATACTGGGTGATGCCTCCTGGCATCACCTCCTACCACGTTGGTCAGTGGTGAGAGGTCAGACAAACTCAGTCTCCTGGTCCTCCAGGTTTGGGGTTTGAAATGGGATGGCGTCCATTTCGGTAAAACTAAATCATTGCCACCTCCTCGCTGCCTTGCGGACAGGCTTTTGAGCCAAAGGCTTTGGATGAGGACCCTAATCGTCCTCCTGTCTAGGTCTGGGCGCCCTGGCAGTATCAGCCCACATACACCCATGACATTTTCTTCAAACATAAACTACATCCTACACCGGCCGTCGCGCAGATTATCAAGCGTTGCCTTATCTGCTGCCTACAGCAGGGCGCATAAGCGAAAACATGCTGCTACTGGCGCCTCCCTTGTTTCTTTTCCACCTGTTCATCTTACTCCCATCCCAACCCCCATTACTAACTTTCCATCTGTACTTCCCAGCTTAATTGACAGCAACCGAAGTGCCACTGGAGTAGAATCATCTGCAGCCACCATCCCACCGCACCTATCGGATGCCTATCGGCAAAAGTCCCTTATAAAGCCACGCTAACCCGTTTCCATGGCGAAATACAACGTTCGCACTCTAAGAAAAGTAGGTCAACAGGCTGCACTCGCATACACTCGCATACACCTTGGACACACTGGGTATTGATTTGTGTTGTGTGTCCGAAACTAGGATCAATGACCCTAGAGGGGTTATTGAATTAACTGCACCCGGCTTATCCTCTCGTTATTGGTTGCACGCATCCGGAGACGCCGATGCAGCAGCACTCACGGGTCAAGCTGGTGTAGGTATCATTCTAAGCTCCAAGGCTGAGCCGTGGTTGGTTGATTGGATTCCGGTGAACAGCCGTTTATGTGCAGCCCGTCTGACGACATCCAATAAGGTTACTTCACAAAGTAGTACAAAACGCTGCTTGTTCGTGGTTTCCGCTTATGCTCCCACTGACTGCAGTTCAAATGCTGTCAAGGACACATTCCATAACGAACTGAACGCGCTACTACAGAGTGCTACTAGTTCAGCTATCATAGTACTTGCAGGGGATATGAACTCACAAATAGGGTGCCTGAGCTATTCAGAAGCTCAGCTGGGTGGTAATTATGGGCTTAACTCCGAACGGACTGACAACGGTGAGCGTCTGCTGCAACTGTGTGCGGAACACCAGTTGTTTCTTAGTAGCACTGCTTTTAGACACAGTGGGCGCCGAAGTGCCACTTGGCGTCCTCCTGTACCTGGCCAGAGTTGGACCCAAACTGACCACATAGCCATAAGTTACAGGTGGCGTGGTTCCATCCTGGATTGCCGCTCGTACTGGAGTACCTGTGTCGACTACGCTCATGCTTTGGTATGCTGTCGTTTCTCCATGAACTGTACCGGGAGGCGCACAAAGCGTCTCCCCCGATTGGCAACGGAGAAATTGTCTCAGCCCTCGGTCAGGCAAGCCTATCAAGAAGCACTGCATAGCGAACTCTCGCTGTCTTGTCCTAATGACACTGAACTTCAGTGGAATAGGATCTCCGCTGCTATGCACGACGCAGGAGCAGCTGCTTGTGGCACTATCCATCGTCACCGCACCAGTCACTGGATATCCGAGAGGCCGGTGAATATGTTGGAATCCAGAAGATACCGCCTGGCTGGCTCTGAGCACAATGTGACCAGACGCGCTATTAGGCGCGAACTGAAGCGGAGCCTACGTGCTGACAAGGAAGCCTGGTAGACCAGTAGGGCTCAAGAAATGGAGGAGGCAGGAGCAGTAGGCAATTGCCGCAAGCTCTTCCAGCTAATCCGCACCACTGACCCCAGAAAACCAGGCGTCAGTGAGACAATCAGAGACAGCGCGGGTGCGCTGGAGCGCCGTATGGCTGGTTGGGTGGAACACTTTCAAGATCAGTTCAGCTGGTCCCTTGCTCCCGGACCTCTTCCTACTCAGGTGATGCAGCACGAGCCATGGACGGTTAGTTTAGAGCCTCCGTCGGAGTCCGAGGTCCGAAACACGATCCCAGCCCGTAATAGTTTTCGTGTCGTTGGCCCGGATTCCCTCTCACCTGCACTATTTAAGGATGGGGGTGAGGTCCTCTGCAAAGCACTGACCTCCTTACTCGAATGTACCTGGAAGGAAGAGAGTGTCCCGGCTAATTGGAGCGAATCGATTATAGTGGCAATATAGAAGAAGCACGGTCGCACAGACTGTTCTAACCACAGGGGTATTAGTCTAACGCCAGTTGTGGCAAAATCATCGGCCTCGATTATCGTTCGTCGCCTCACTGTGGAACGGGAAGCTCGGATTAGGGAAGAGAAGGCCGGTTTCCGTCCAGGACGTGGATGTATAGACCATATGTACACTTGCGGCAGGTGCTAGAGCAGCGTCACGCATACCGCAGATCGACAATAGCTGTGTTCCTCGATTTCAAGCGTGCGTTCGATTCAGTCGATCGATGTCTTCTGTTCGAAGTACTTGCGCGGAAAGGTGTTCCCACGGAATATGTGAACATCCTTCGTGCTCGGTACTCGAACACTACAGGCCGCGGCAGGTTCTACGGTGTCCTATCGGATAGTTTTCCGACCACAAGTGGCGTTCG